ACGTCTCACAACCTTATGGGCCTTCACGACCTTCACGACCGTTCACGACCAGTTACAGGGACAGCTTTTACCTGGTTTTACGACCATCTCTTTCACTGCTGCTGTTGCCTGTAGAATTAATGACACTTGCTATGAGCGCCGTCGAGAAGGAAGAGGGCCTGAGCCATGCAGGCACGGTTCAAGAAATCAACTTCGAAATTGAAGCAGAAAGGAAATGTAAAAGTACTACATAAAAGATATGAAGAGAAAAACAAAAATTAAACGAAAATAATGAAAAGAATTACATTCGATCAGTGCGCAGTGCATTAGAATTCCTCTGATAAGTGTTGCCTGAAGATGGCCTTATGTGTCCAAAGCATGTAACATTATAATAATGCATATCTATTTTAATGTTTTAAACAAACTGTTTTATTTAACATCTTATGCACCTAAAACAACCACTCTATGACATTAAAGTGTGAATCAATGTTATTGATTGTTGCACTATAGACGGAACGTTTGATAGACTATAAGTTATGCCATCAAAAATGCTTTGCATATTAAAAAAAATGTTACGCTTGATAGGCTTCTACTATTTATTTATGTAATTAATTTCATTTTAGTGCATGAGTAGCATTCGAACTCGTAAGATCGAATCGGACCACGATCAGAACATTTTACTTGAATTGCTATTGTTGTCATCACAAAGATCATGGTTTTGTTAAGAATGCATAACATAAGTAGATATTATGTCCACGTTAAATTTGTTGAATATTTCCGACACATTCCAAAGTTATAACCTCGAAGTTTAGCATACGTTTTGCGATTGTCGACTTTAAATAGTATTGGTATTCTTATACTGTGTAATAATACAGAATATCTTATTCCAAGGTCCAGTCGTCTTTAAGTTATAACTGTCAGACTGAAAAATGAGTGAAAATTTTACATTGCCACCTTTTCTTTTATTGCTAGTGGAGTGGGACTAAGTCCCTTGTACTGCGGCCACTTCTGGCCTATTGTACCAGCCCCAGATGATAGGTGAGGGTGATTGTGGAACAATTGGTGGAATGAAGATTGGCAGAAGAAGCCGAAGTACTCGGAGAAAGCCTGCCCCAGCGCCACTGTGTCCACCACAAATCCCACTTGACCAGACCCGGGATTGACCCCGGGCCGCCGCGATGGAAGCCAGCGACTAACCGCTTGAGCTATGGCGCGGCCTACATTGCCACCTTAATCTTATTTTATATTAAAAGGTTAATAAAAAATTATCGTAAGAAATGGTGAGTAGTTCTCAAAGACACATTATAAAACACCTGTGGGAACTGCCCACATTCAAGCAAACGTTACAGTGACAACGCAAGTATCAGTGCTTAGCAACGACTGTTTGCTAAGCAATGATACTTGCGTTGTCACGTTTGCTTGAATGTGGGCAGTTCCCACACACCATTTCAGGTCTGTGTATTTTGCATCACTCCAACTTCAGATGTTGGTACTATGTTTTTTTATTATTTATTGTAAAAAAGAAAATTGAAAAATATGAGGAATACAGTCTTCTCGGTTGTAACGCAGCAAATTAAGCCAAGCAAGAAACCAGAAGAAACAGGTATACTTTTCGACGCGGAAAACGAAAGCGTCATGTTCCTTCGAAACATCGGGCCCTCTCCTAATTAAACAGCTCTGAAACCCAGAAGGTCCTGCTTTCAATACTCATAACCGTGAGACCCTCAAATTCAACAGTGATATGAGGTCCCAGATGCCCTTCAGTGGCATAAAGTTAATACCGAAAGCCGTGAACTTGGCCAACTGATTCAAAAGATAAAAGAGGCTATCCGCGTATAGATAGCATGGTGATCTCAAGAGCCTCTTTTTGTTTACGAAGAGTAAACCGACAATTTACAAACGTGCAGTTTTAATACAAGTCGACCAATTGGTTCAGAGGTCTTGAGACATTAATATCCTCAAATATCCTCAAATAAAAACAGTAGAAAAATGGGATAAGTAAAATTGTTAATTAACCCGTCAGGAGTACATCACATTTAGCTACGCATATCATCTGTGCACAATTGTGCTGCGATCTACAAACGTCTCCTTTCATCGAACAGTATTGTTTTGAAGACCAAGTAGACTTTTATCGATTTGAATCCGTGAGTTGGTTTTTGTCAGAGGGAGAAAGAATTGCATCTGCTCTTAGAAAACCGCCAAAAGTTTATTTTGAATTTTGTGTTAAAAATGTCGGATACGTTTGTGGATGAAGTAACGAAGCAACTTTCAGACACCTCTATCGAGAGTAGTGGTGTTAGTTTTGAAGGGAAATCTTTAAAACTTGATACGGAAGATGATGGTAATATTTGACTTAGAATAGGTTAGGAGGCACAGTGTTTTTATTATCAACTTTACATCTTTGAATCTGAGATAACACTGTCCAGAAAGTTCATTTAAGAAAGAATAATGCGAATTACATGTATTGGAGAATACCGGTAGCGCTAGTTATTTATATAATTACAACTATAACTTTACGTTGCACGCTGTTAAGACATAGGTTGCATGCTGAAAGACGTGGAAAGTTGCGTGTGATGCATTTAATTTAATGTATTAAGGCATTACTATTAGGAGTGTGATATATATGTATATGGTAACAGTACAGATATCAGGGAAGACGAGCCTTTTTTTCGCCTTGTGTAAGAATTGTATCAGAAGTTACCATTAAGAAGTGGTGCCAAACCCCCTTGCACCAGTTACACCTGAAGAGATTAATGAGGTTTTTGCTGCTGTAGATTCGTTAGACATTCATTTCCTAGTTTGTATGTGGTTTAGAGAGTGACAGAACCTGCCTTAGGTTATTGTTTAATGTATGAGAAAACTTCAAGTATTTGACTATGTATTTTACATTTCAAAGTAACTGACAACATGACTTATCTATTCTTGTAGATTCTAAAGGGTTCTGATGATGGTGGATGACACACAGAATTACCGGGTTTTTGGACTTTTTCCAGCGTAAAAGGTACTAGCGTACTAGGTAAAAGAGGACATGACGTTTTGGAAACTGGATCTGTTTCCCTCTTTGGGTGAGAAAGGAAGACACCTCAGTTGTGCCCCTTAGAAAGAGTGATTGAGATTAGCTCTTTCTAAGGGGCCCAACTGAGTAGATGTCTTCCCTTCTCACCTGAAGAAGGAAACAGATCCAGTTTCCAAAATGTCGTGTCCTCCAGTACCTAGAATTCCTGACGATGGAAAAAGTCCAAAAACCCCGGAGTTATCTATTCTTGTAACCATATTTTTTTTCAGTAATATAGACATTCATGGTGGATACATAAAAAAAAAAAGTTGCAACAGAGAAGTCTTATGGAATTACGAGTTATTGAATATAGGAGGTGATTCCAAATATTTATATGGCCAATGTATGTAATCATTGGTGTCAGCCAATATCAAAGCTAATGTCACTGGTTTGCAATCCATTAAGTAAAGTTGTAGTACTTAGAGCTGACAGTCCTCCAAAGTGGAGTAGGAGAAGTATTGGTAGTGGCGGGGAGAACTCCAGCATGCCTACAAGTGTGGCAGGGAATGCAGTACATGCGTTCTCGAAAGGAAATGATTTCTTACCTCATTGCGTTGCATAGTGATGGTGGTTTAGTCTCGTTGATGTTCACACATCTGATGTTAAGTGTTAAGTGCCGAATGGCAGACTATTATGCACTATACAGTATTATACATTTTTCAATGTTATATACATGAAGAGGTTACAATATTATATTTAAGCATCCTGTTGCACTCCATACGATAAATGATATAAACTCCGTCTCAAGTGCAAACAATATATTTTGTGTCTTTGATCTTGCTCCCTACACTACATGTTTCGGCCTCAGACGGCCATCATCAGGTGTATAACACTCACGTCGCTGTCACACTGCACCCAGTTCAAAATTTAACATCTAAAACACTCTCCCTGTCATTATCAACTTCTACTTCGTTGATAGCTGTCCACCCGTAGATTA